CTGAATGGAGAAAAATTGAAGGCATTCCCTCTAAAATCTGGAACAAGACAGGGATGCCCTCTCTCACCACTTCTGTTCAACATAGTTCTCGAAACACTGGCCACAGCAATTAGACAGACAAAAGAAATTAAAGGCATAAAAATAGGAAAAGAAGAACTTAAATTATCACTATTTGCAGATGATATGATTCTATACCTAGCAGACCCAAAAGGCTCTACAAAGAAACTATTAGAGCTAATAAATGAATTCAGCAAAGTGGCAGGATATAAAATCAACACGCATAAATCAAAGGCATTCCTGTATATCAGCGACAAATCCTCTGAAATGGAAATGAGGACAACCACTCCATTCACAATATCTTCAAAAAAAATAAAATACTTGGGAATCAACCTAACAAAAGAGGTGAAAGACTTATACAATGAAACTATAGAACCCTAAAGAGAGAAATAGAAGAAGATCTTAGAAAATGGAAAAATATACCCTGTTCATGGATAGGCAGAACTAACATCATCAAAATGGCGATATTACCAAAAGTTCCCTATAGGTTTAATGCAATGCCAATCAAAATCCCAAAGGCATTTCTTGTAGAAATAGAGAAAGCAATCATGAAATTCATATGGAAAAATAAAAGACCCAGAATAGCAAAAACAATGCTAAGCAGGAAGTGTGAATCAGGCGGTATAGCGATACCAGACTTCAAACTATACTACAGAGCAATAGTAACAAAAACAGCATGGTACTGGTACCAAAACAGGCGGGTGGACCAATGGTACAGAATAGAGGACACAGAAACCAACCCACAAAACTACAACTATCTTATATTTGATAAAGGGGCTAAAAGCATGCAATGGAGGAAGGATAGCATCTTCAACAAATGGTGCTGGGAAAACTGGAAATCCATTTGCAACAAAATGAAACTGAATCCCTTTCTCTCGCCATGCACAAAAGTTAATTCAAAATGGATCAAGGAGCTTGATATCAAATCAGAGACACGCCGTCTGATAGAAGAAAAAGTTGGCTACGATCTACATACTCTGGGGTCGGGCTCCAAATTCCTCAATAGGACACCCATAGCACAAAATTAATAACTAGAATCAACAAATGGGACTTACTCAAACTAAAAAGTTTTTTCTCAGCTAAAGAAACAATAAGAGAGGTAAATAGAGAGCCTACATCCTGGGAACAAATCTTTACTCCTCACACTTCAGATAGAGCCCTAATATCCAGAGTATACAAAGAACTCCAAAAATTAGACAATAAGATAACAAACAACCCAATCAACAAATGGGCCAAGGACTGAACAGACAGTTCTCAGAGGAGGACATACAATCAATCAACAAGTACATGAAAAAATGCTCACCATCTCTAGCTGTCAGAGAAATGCAAATCAAAACCACCCTAAGATACCATCTCACTCCAGTAAGATTGGCAGCCATTATGAAGTCAAACAACAACAAGTGCTGGCGAGGATGTGGGGAAAAGGGTGTACTTGTACATTGCTGGTGGGACTGCAAATTGGTGCAGCCAATTTAGAAAGCAGTATGGAGATTTCTTGGAAAGCTGGGAATGGAGCCACCATTTGACCCAGCTATTCCCCTTCTTGGTCTATTCCCTAAAGACCTAAAAAGAGCATGCTACAGGGACACTGCTACATCGATGTTCATAGCAGCTCAATTCACAATAGCAAGACTGTGGAACCAACCCAGATGCCCTTCAATAGACGAATGGATTAAAAAAATGTGGCATTTATACACAATGGAGTATTACTCTGCATTAAAAAATGACAAAATCATAGAATTTGCAGGGAAATGGATGGCACTAGAGCAGATTATGCTAAGTGAAGCTAGCCAATCCCTAAAAAACAAATGCCAAATGTCTTCTTTGATATAAGGAGAGTAACTAAGAACAGAGTAGGGACGAAGAACATGAGAAGAAGATTAACATTAAACAGAGATGAGAGGTGGGAGGGAAAGGGAGAGAAAAGGGAAATTGCATGGAAATGGAAGGAGACCCTCAGGGTTATACAAAAGTACATACAAGAGGAAGTGAGGGGAAGGGGAAAAATAATACAAGGGGGAGAAATGAAGGTCAGTAGAGTGGGTAGAGAGAGAAGAGGGGTGGGGAGGGGAGGGGAGGGGGGATAGTAGAGGATAGGAAAGGCAGCAGAACATGACAGTCACTAGTATGGCAATATGTAAATCAATGGATGTGTAATTGATGTGATTCTGCAATCTGTATATGGGCTAAAAATGGGAGTTCATAACCCACTTGAAGCAAAGTGTGAAAGATGATATATCAAGAACTATGTAATGTTTTGAACAACCAACAATAAAAAAAAAAAAGAAAAAAAAGCACAAGAACATAAAAAAAAAAAAAAAGAGGCACTTTTCTGGAATGACAGTGTAAATGATTAAGGACTTTCTTGTTGAGTTAAGTTTTCCTGACAAACTGGTGTCATCATAATTAAATGCACAAATTTCTTTGCTACCCTTCAAAAAAAAAAAAAAAAGAGACAGCCTACAGAAGAGGAGAAAACATCTGAAAATTATTCATTCAATTAGGGAGTAACATTCAGAATATGTAAGGAACTCAACAGCAAAAAATAATCCAATTAAAAATGGATTATTAAATGATCTGAGTCAACTTTTCTCAAAAGAAGATATACAAATGGCCAACAAGTACACACAAAAATGTTCACTATCACCGATCATCAGGAAAATGCAAATCAAAACCGCAACAAACCTCAATTTGTCTCACCCTAGATAGAATGGCTGTTACCAAAAAGATAAAAAATACAAATGTCGGCAAGGATGCAGAGAAAAGGGACTCTTCTGCACTGCTGATGGGGATGTAAATTAGTACAGACATTATCGAAAACAACGTGGAGGTTCCTCAAAAAATTAGAACTAGAACTCCCAGATGACTGAGCTACTTCATTATGGTATATATACAGCCAAAGGAAATGCAATAAGTATGTCATAGAAACAGCATTCACACGTTTACTGGTATTCACAATTGCCAAGATATGGGATCAACTTAGGTGTCCATCATGGATAAAGGAAAAAAGAAAATGTGGTATATTTACATAATATAATAATATTCAACCTTCAAAAAGAACAAAATCCTGTCATCTATAGCAAAATGGATGGCACAGTCCCATCACTTATTTTCAAGTGAAATAAGTCAGGCATAGAAAGAAAAAAATCATACATTCTCAGATGTCGAAGCCTAAAAAGTTTATCTTGTAGAAGTAGAGAGTAAAATCATGGTTACCAAAGTGTGTGGAGAATGCAGGACAGTGACAGAATATTAAAAGCCACAGGATGCAATTGGATAGGGGAACAAGAGTTGACAACCACTACTAAAGCTTTTCAGAAGAGAGGATTTTGAATGTTCCCAGCCCAATGGAATAAAAATGTTTAAAGTGATGGTTAGGCCAGTTACCTTTATCTGATCATTACATAGTGTATACGAGTATGGAAATTATCAGAGTTGACCTCCATAAATATGTATGTAAAATTCAAAAATTTTAATTATCATGTGGCAATTAAAATTTTTGAATTTTTTTTAAATGTTGGCTACTTGAGTTGCCTATCCCTAAAATCATCCTAAAATTGTACTGGTTGATATCCTAATGGATAGAGGCTCATTTTTCCTTTTTCTTGAGGCTTCACTTACTTATTGGATCATGCACTAGGCTTCTAACCCACCATTGAAGGTGCACAGTACACATGAATGATGGCACAGGGCTGCTTTCTTTTTCTCCCCTCCCTGGAGCCTGTTAGATAGCAAAAACATTGTTATGGAACTATCAGAACAACTTTTTATAAGTAAGACTTTTTAAATATTTTACAATGACGTATCATTTATTAGGGTTAAAATTAAAGATAAGCTATGAGGATCAACTTTCAGTTTTATATTTTCAAGTTCATTCAATTAGGAAATGCTACGAAATGGAGGCAACAATGGGAACAAGGACGTGATCCATGGCAAAGGAGGGGAAGGCATGAGATGCAATGGAGCAGGCACCGAAGAATACCTGGGGAAAACAGAACTAAAAACTAAACTCCCTGGGGAGCCCACAAGCTCCCCCTGACACCCTCAGAAAGCACAGAGGTCAAGCAAAATATCTAGCCTAGAAGAAGCCACTTAGGCAAAAGAAGACATTTGCAGTAATAGGTACTGCAAGAAGGCAGAATGTGCCTTCTGGGTGCTAATTATCCCTCAGGAGTTATTTTTAGAGTACAGATGCTCATGGACTTCTGGTAGTTAACTAATGGACATGACATACATGACCACCACCACCACTCACTCATTCAAGTAGCCCCAGAAGAGCAATGAGAGAGCACACTGAATCATGACTATCAATATGTCTAGCGTCTAGAAAATAGTGAGTGGTGGAAGGGAGGAGGGAGAAACAATGGAGAAGGGCCAGTGGCTCCTCCTTCGGCCATGGGGGAAGGGCTACATCTGATCTGGGAGCAAAGCTTGTCTTACAAGGAAGAGAACTATGTACATACCAATAGTAGGAGTCTCCCTGGGAATTTCATACAGGAAAGAAACTGCTAACACATAATAACTTAGGTTTGCACAAACTGAAGAGCTCCTCCTTCCGGGACTGTGGACCTCTTAGTTCAAAGTGTCACCCTTCCCCGGAAGTCAAGCAGAGCCTCCCAAGAAGAGGCCTTGGCACCTTCACAAGAAACAGAATCTGCAAATCTTGACCATACCCCATGCCAGCCACCTAATGAAGCCAGGAGGAAGGTGCTGAGCAGGGAACCTCAGACTCGATTCGTTCAAGGAGAAAAACCCTAACAAGTTCACTGAAATAGTCAAACATCATCTTTTTATTCAGACTGGAATATGCAGTCATGTATATTTTCATCTTTGGAACAGGTGGTTTAATATGCAAATAAAGTAATAAGTGTCAGAACCGTATCCTAGCAGTAGCTACTTTGCAAACGTTACCATGGCACCAATTCAACAGTGTTCTTAGAGGCAGCCACACCTCAGCAAGGTCTTTTTAACTTGGGACAGCAAAGTTCAAATGAACTATTAGACACAAACTGCAAAAGAGTCCTGAACTGAGTTAGGAGGGGAATCTTTACAGCACGATTGCCCTCCACAGCTACTAGAAACGACATGGAACTTTAAGGAGAGAAAAAGAAAATGGACCATCTCCCATAACACCTGGAATGTGATCCAAGCCTAGAGACAAAATGATGGTAATTATAACTGCTAACATTTGTTTTTAGCTGCTAACAGATTGTGCCCAGATTGCGAAGGGCAAACTTCGTTCTCCAATTACTCTTGTGCGAACTGTGCTTTGACAGTACTCACTAAATCCTAGCTGGGTGAAAGGAGAGCAGACTGTCCTCGCGGGTGGTTCATTTATGTTAAACTAAGAAAGGGCTGTCCTCCCATGGCCCCAGTCCAGGGCCCCAGTCCAGGGCCACTCACAGTTGGATGTGAGAGAGCATCCTCCAGCAGAATGGGCTCTAACAGGTGTCTAGTTCTCACTGCCGGCTGATCTGCTCTACAGAGGGTGACAGGCACTTCCCAAGCACAAAGCAGAAGGTGAAGGACTCAGCAGGAGGGATGCAGGCTGCCAGGGGAAGGCACCTGGCTTGTGAACTGGTCAGGGTCACTAAGGTAGGCCCTGGGCTACCACAAAGCACATCCCCTCCTGGTTAGGGGAGAATGAAAGGTTAACAATAAAGATAGTCTGTGATCAATGACTAGTGATATAAGGAGCTCTTAAAATTCTTTAAGAGCTCAAAGGGACAGGAATTCTTTTCTGCTTACTCAGAAAAGGGTGATTAAAGATAGAGCTGGGGGGTGGGGGACACTAGAAAAAGTAAAGACTTCATCATCAGGGAACCATGGTTGGTTGACACTGAAAAGCCCTCACAAGAATGAGAGTCCCCCTCTTATATATCAAAGCCACTGCTCAGAACGATCTCACTAAAATAGTAACATGTATCTTATGGCTAAAATAGAAAAAAAGGGAGAGGTGAGGAAAGGATTGTTCAGAAAAGCAATCAGGAATTTCTATTTTGCTGCCTTTATCTTCAGACACAAAAACTTTTGCTTTCATAAAGGGTAATTATGAGACCATATATAGAGTTAACTTCACACATACTCCAGTTTAAAATACAATAATTAAGCAGAAAAGGGCCTCTTGGCATGGTTTCCATAACATTTTTAGCCAAGTCAATCTGCAAATTTTCTGTGGGTGGGTTGGATTTGTAATCTCAGTGGCAGCCTGCACATTGGGTGTGCCACCCAGCGGCTCGCCACATTGAGGGCACAATATTCAAAAAAGTGAGAGCTTGATTTCATCAAGTTTTGATAACCAGAGAGATGCTATCTGATGAGCAAGGCTGAAAGGAGATTAAGAGAGAAAACAACACTCAGGAAATAGTATTAGGTTCCAAAAGATGGGCCCACATCAGGGATTAGATCCAGTTTGCTGGAGGAAAACCTATTACAAAGGCCAGGAAGCCTCAAGGGCAGGAATTCAGTTGCGTCAGGAAAATACAGCACTAAGGAGGAAATGGAAACAAATGCCCAACCCTGTGGACTAAGCTGACATGACAGAAGTTGGGAGAAGTCTGCAATCTGGTGGATACATGCTACCAGAGCTACTGTAGGGATATTAGCCATAGGATACCAGTGACAGGAATGAAGCCATATTTCACCCACATCTAGATCAAGTCTCTTAAAATATTTTCTTCCCAGGACAGGATTAACACAGGAATTCTGTAGCTCTCAGCCTTTCAAATACAAGCTGCATCAAATACAGCAATGACAGAGCTTATCTAGGCTGAAGAAGACACAATTGATCAAAGTGCTTTCATGTGGGAGGCCATAATAAATATTTGAAATGTGTTCAATTAGATTTTGAAAAGTGAAAAATATATTTTGTTGCAATGGTCAGTTTTACCTCATTTGTGTTTTCTGCCTTATCTGATTTGCTATCTGGGCAAAGTTAAATGTAAACAATGAAATTATAAACAAAAAAATATAGAGAATTTTTTTTTAATATTTGTTTTTTAGTTGTAGGTGGACACAATATCTTTATTTCATTTTTATGTGGTGCTAAGGATTGAACCAAGTGCCTCACCTGTGCTAGGCAAGCACTCTACACTGAGCCACAGCCCTGGAGAATATTTAATTGTGCTTTGATGAGGAAGGGTTTTCTAAATACAACAGGAAGAAATAAATTGAAAGATAAGATTGGACAACATAAAAATGTAAAATTTGGTCCAATTTAAAATATGAGCATAATTAAAGGTAAAATATTTTCAAAAAAAATGAGATAATATTTGTGATGCATAAAGAACTTTGGCAAATCAATAAGAAAAACTTTGAAAAAATAGGTAAACAATCAAGAACGTTTCATAGAAGAATAAACACTATAGACCAATAAGCATGTGAAATAGTTCAACCTCACTAGGAATAGAAAAGGTATATATTATAACATCAGGAAGACACCAATATCACTTCTTAGACTGGCAAATGGGGTGATAAACATCAATGCGAAAGAATCTGATAAGATTAGTATACTTTCCTAGGATAATTTGACAAAGTTTGACCTAATACTAAGACTTCATAGTAATCTACATTAAGAATCAGAGTTATAAACAATTTATAAAAATATTCATCAGTCATTTATAATAATTAAAAGAGGCAAGAAACTGAATGTTATAATTATATCATAAAATTCTAATTGGCCATGAATGGTGTATTTCAAAGAATGGGGAAATGCTATGACACAATATAAACTGAAAAAGCAGGGTATAAAACATAACTTTAGTGCTGAGGACGTAGCTTGGTGGTAGAGCGCTTCCCTAGCATATGTGAGGCCCTGGGTTCAGTCCTCAGCATATACACGTATCTGGTGGGAATAGACCTGTTATCAGTGATTGCAATACAAACTGATAGGTTTTTTTCTCCTTGTACATCAGTATTTAAAAAACAAACAAACTATATTATAATGCTAGGTAGCTGTTCGGAAACAAGAAGGGAAAAAAAAACCATTCCTTTCAGATCTTAACATTTAGGGTTTAATATCCCAGAAACTATTGATTTGAAATATTCTAAACAACCCATATTTGCTTTCCATAAGAGTTATTTTCCTCTAACAAGTCCCACCCACCATAAATAAGACTTTCAAATGCCAGTGGATGAGTGTCCATGACCCAAAGAATCACGATCAGCAATTCCTTTTTTTGTTTTTTTTTCTTTTTATTAGTGAATTATAATTACACAAAATGGTGGGATTTGTTCTTACAAATTCATACATGCACACAATATAACAGCATTATTGGTCAGTTTCATTCTCCAGTATAAGTAAGAATTTTTTTTTCAGGGGGGGATTGAACCCGGGGCCTGCCCATGCTAGGTGAGTATGCTACCACTGAGCCACATCTCCTACAGGTGGCATTTATACAAGAAGTCACTACCATTAAGCAAAACCTACCCTATGGTCCATTTCTTAAAAGGATAATACCTCCATATTATGCTAATGGTTTTAAGAAATAGCTCATTTCAAATGCAAGCACACTCAAAACCTCTGCACATAGTTTAGACACTATTATATGCAGAAAAGCAACAAAGGAAGAAATCATGAACAAAATGTAAAACCCATGCTTATTTCTTTGGATTTCCATAAATGGAAATCATCTGGATAACCTGGGGCTCGTAGCATTGTTATATGTCAGGCACATAGTGAGGCATTTTCTATGTATTCTACTACTCAAATCCTAAGACAACCTTATGTACTATTGTTGTCTTCACTTTGAAGACAAGGAAGCTGTGGCTCTCAGATATTAAATAACTTACCAAAAACCACTAGGCTGGTAAGTGTCTGAGCCCAGATTTGGAACAAGGCAGTCTGTTTCTAGAACTTGGCTGTTAAACGCATTTGCTCTATTTAGTCAGAATCTGTGCGACAGGTAAAGTTGTATTCTGCATTTCTCTTTTGCCTCCTCCCTGCCCTCCTAGAACCTCAATAAAGAAAAACAAACCCTAACCTTTTTAATCCATTCATATATGTCACTATCTTTTAGAGTCAACGATGCTACTATAGTTATTCTGCAACTTCCTTCAATGAAAGCCATAGGGCTTAATGAATGCATGACCTTCAGTTTTTCCTGCGATGGTTTTATACATAGTTTCTCTTCCCTATTTAGGTTTGCAGCTAGAAGACAATAAAACTAGCAATGGAACCACTATATGAGGAATACCTAGCACATGGTGGAACAATAGTCAAACCTTATTACTGGCTAAACTTCTCCCTAGATTGCACCAACTGTCCTTACCATATTCGGACAGGTGAGGAAGCAAGAGTCCCCTACACAGAATTTCATCAGATTTTTGGATTCCCTTATGGGCCAACATATCCTCAAACAAAACACCTCATATTTTATGAACTCAAAAATTCTTCTGGTAGCCTGGTGCAAAAGGGCCATGCCAGTAACTGCACTGGGAATGATACCCACCCAGAATCAATGCTGTTTGAGACAAATGGTTATCTTGACTCAGCCGCGCACAACAACAGCAGCATTAGGCACATCATCCTGTATTCCAACAACTCCCCTTGTAATGAAGCCGAACACTGCTGCATCAGCAAAATGTATAATTTCCTGATGACGCACCCAGACGTCACTCTTAGTATTTACTTTTCTCAACTCTATCATACTGAGCATGAATTTCCTGCCTCAGCGTGGAACCGTGAGGCTCTTCGGAGCCTGGCCAGCTTATGGCCCCAGGTCACTCTGAGCCCAATAAGTGGTAGGATCTGGCACTCTCTTCTCGACAACTTTGTCAGTGGTGTCTCGGGACCAGCTGTTTTCCAGCCCATTTTAACCGGGAGGGCCCTGGCTGACCGGCACAATGCTTATGAAATCAACACCATAACAGGAGTGAAACCTTACTTCCCAGATGCTCTTCCCCAGAAAAAAGAGAATCAGAACTACCCCTTAAACCATGTCCTCTCTGTACAGTCTTTCCAAGGGACAAGTAGACAACCACAGTCCAGCGTGACTCCAGACCTCAGGAATCCTATTGTCTTTGTGCTGGTCCCTTATAGAGACCTACCACCAATCCATGTGGGTCAAAACCCTCACAAACCCAGGAATGTGGTAAGGCACTTAAATATTGCCTCAAATGTCACTCCAGGAAAACAAAGACCTCAGAAAGACCAAGGGAGATAATGGAAATCAGAATGGTTTGCAAGGAACAAAGAGGCAGAGGAAAAGAAGAAGAAGAAAGAACAAAAATAAAATCTACATGTTATGAATGCATGAAGCCAAGTGCCAGGAGACTTACTAGCTGGGCAACAAAAATCTGAAAATCTCTCTCTCAGATCTGATCAAAGATGAGGATAAACTGATGCATAAGAGCAAAAACTGAATTATATACCATATCCACTATTTTAAAACCATACTTTTTCTAACATAATCTAAAATATTTCCATAAAACAACATGATCTCTCTCCTTTATTTTGAATGTGATAATAATAAAATGGAACCATTAATACCTTGCTAATATTTTGGTAAAGATTAGGAATATTGTTAGTCTACCCACATCATCTTTCCAATAAAAAGAAAACATGGACTAAACAGCTTCTTAAATTGGTTTCAGCAGAAAAATTTACTATAAATTTATAAAACAGCCTGAAGTTACTGATGTTAAGTGCTATCTCAAAGAGTAAACTAGTAACATTCCATTAATTGTTAATTGTGGATGGAAGATTTTAGGCAGCCCACTTTTTCCAGAGTAATTCAAAATTATTTTGTGTGGGGGGAAAAAAACTCTTCTGTAATGGATTACATATAGTTATAAAAATTGAAACGTAGCCACCTACTCAGTGGACCTTTTCCAGCTCAGAACTCTCCCTCCTGAGCAAATGACAGGGGCTGGATGATGCAAGAGAATCACCAAAGGCCCCCCCTTCACAGGCCACATCACCAGAACCACTCGCACTGGCTCCCAGGGCTCCTTGTTGCCTTGTCTCACTGGTAAGATTTTAAGTTCTGTAGGACAAGCTCATGCTCTGCACCACCACCCCCACTCCCCGCCACCTTAGATTCTCCTTTAGAATCTAGCACAATATCCAGGCAGAATGTGGATAGCAAGGTTGAGACTGCATCTCAGTAAATTCACCAATCATTACTCCCCAAGATCTCTTCACTGCTGCCAAGTGCCTGCTTAACCACCCTCCAAGGGACATCTTTTTGTTAGCACCCATTTCCCCTTCTTCTAATTCAGATCACCAATGCCTAATTTGCATATGCTGATTTCCCTTTTCTGACCCCTTCCTCTTTACCAGTGTATATCCGTAACTTCTCTTAAAATCTAATTCAAAGCATACTCCTTTAGGAAGCACTCTTTGACTAACCTTTTGAGTCATTTAAATGAAACCACTTTACTTATGCTTAATTCACATTTGCTATCTCTTCCCTCTCAGAAATATGTAAAGATGAATTATAAGAAAATGTATACTCATCTTTATAGAACTTGCCTTTATATTAAAATACACACACATGCACACACAAAAATGCTAAGTTAATAAGATATTTCACTATTACATTAGAGCACATAATACTTCATGAAAAAGGGGAGGAGGAAGAGGAAGGAAGAAATAAAAGAAAAAAAAGGTTTTAGGAATAGAAGTTAGTATTGTGTAAAATAAACATGAATAAAATTATTAAAAACAAATTTCTATTGTTAGCCTGCAAATTTTTATAGAATTATTGGAATATAATTTTACCATGGGTATACAGTGATTATTATTTAAAAAGGTGCTACTGAAGTTTATTATCAGCTCATGGACTCATATGTCTATTATTTGGAATGTTATGATAAAAAAAAAGATCCCAACATGACAAATCGGTCATTTCTGATTATTATAAAATAGATCCAAGGGGGTTGAGGTTGTAGCTCAGTGGTACAGCACTTGCCTCACATATGTGAGGCACTGTGTTTGATCCTCAGCACCACATAAAAATAAACAAAATAAAGTTATTAAAAAAAAACAGATCCAAGGGCTTGGGGTATAGCTAGCTCAATGGCATGTACAAAGCCCTAAGTTCAACACCTCCCCCAGCAAAACCACACACACACACACACACACACACATACATCCAATTTGTTGGCATGAAATCTATCTCTAAAATGGTAAAGTAGACCACAACATCACAAAGGATCCATGGTCTAAAATCTAGGATGAACTTTTATGGTATGTAACAAAAAAAGATATGTTGCCACAACAACAGGAAGGAAAAATTCCTTTCTCAGTTACATTTTTACACTGGCTAAGGCAAGACTGGGCTGAGTAAAAGAATGTTACTGACAGGTCAGAAGTCCAAGGCAGGACAGTCAAGCGTAAGATAAGAGACTAACAGAGGGCATAAAGATAAATGGTCCAAGGTAAGTCATCCCTTTTTACCCATCTGTGAAACAAGAGATAGCTGTTAGTTCATCTTTAAGGCTCCTTTCAGCTCCATCTGCTGTAACAAGGCACACAGCAGAGCAACCTTCCCACAGAGTGAGACCTTACCATGCAGTGATCAGTCTTCCTTGCTCGCCACACAATGGGTTCTGGGTCATGTTGGGCTGGCCCAAGGATGGAGGGAGAGAAGCTAGAATGCTCTACCCCTCTTCAGTAAACCAGCAATGGTGATATTGAAGAATATCATTGCCACCACACATATGGAAATTCCAAATAAAAGAATAGAAGCCAATGAGTTAAAGCAGGTAGCAATACAGAGATGTGAAAAACATAGGGATGTATCCCACGAGACCAACAAAGGAGAAAAGAGGGCAGCATTACCTTGGTGAATCTCTTGACTACCCAGTCAGTATAAGAAGGATGGATTTATTAATCAGGGGCAGACTTGGATTAATAAAGCTCCCAAGATAGACATATAAAGGTAGAATGCTAATGTATTGATTTCCCGTGAGACAACTGGACATACAAGCAGATATCAAAGTCATCCATCCTATATTGCCTTTCCACATAGATAAGCTTCCTGATATTACAATAAGAAGGTTGCTTTATGGGACTAGAAGAGTTCATCATATGATTCAAACACTTAGTGCTATCAGATTTGAATTTGTAGTGGAGCTACATCTGCCACTTGGAAAGAAATAGTGTAATATGTACAAGGATGTCTATCCCTGGATAGTATTTGGGTGAGCCTAGGCTGTAAGAGACAACACAGACCTCTATAACTCCTTTTGTGACTGATAGCATCTATTTTCTTGGGGGATGCTAGGGACTGAAACAAGGTCCTCATGTATGTTAAGCATACACTTTACTATTATGCTACGATCCCAGCCTGATTTTCTACAGATTTTGATGTTTTGTCAAGTTAAAATCTAATCTTGCTGGCCTGACTTGAGAGCAGATTATATTTCTTTAAACAGCTTTTAAATATCTGTTTTGATTCATGGTGCATGCAATCAAAAAACTTCACTTGCAGAATGGAATCCTATTCATTTCATTTCCAAGGATTTTAAGTATACTTACAAGGACTTTAGTATACTTAAGTATACTAATTAATTTAAAATAATATTCTTACTATCAAATATTTAGTGAGAGCTATATAAGGTGTTTATAAGCACTTACATAGAGTAACGAATTTAATCTCCCAATAATTCTACAAGGCAAGTATTATTATAATACTTATTCTACAAATAAATAAATTGCAGCATAGAAAACTTAAGTATCTGCCCAAGTAGTAAAGGCTGAGCTGATAATCAAATCCAGGAGATCTAATTTCAGTATCCATGCTGTTCATCATTACATTTTGATGCCTACCTCAATAATAACAATGCAGATTCACTAGAAATCTAGGAAAAAATTAATATCCCTTTAGTATGTGTCCTGTGGCTTTTCTGTAATTCTGCTCAAACCATGTTACCCATGGGAATCTGGTATACTAAGGGAGTCAGGTAGGATGGGCAAGTTAGGATGGAGAACTTAAGTAGATTCTAGATCCCAGAGCTTTGGCCCTCAACCTTGCCCTACTTCCTCTTTTCCAGCCCCTCATACCAATCACACATCTTGGGGATTATTTTACTTTGGATATCCCTGTCTCTCAGGGATGTATCAAATAGAGGACCCAAGGCAATGGAACACTGATTTATTGTTCCATGCAGTTAAATTAAGTGGAACTAGTTCCAAAAACAAAATCAAAACAAAACAAACAAACAAAAACCTATCAAAGAGAATTACCGTATGATCCAGCAATACCTCTTCTGGGTATATACACAAAAGAAAGCAGAATCTTAAAAGATATTTGTATACCCATAATTATAGCAGCATTATTCACAACAGCCAAAAGCTGGAAGTAAACCAAGGTCCTAGACATGTGAATGGATAAAGAAAAGGAAGGAAATTCTGAAATGTGTCACAACATGGATGAACCTTGAGGACATCATGCTAAATTAAATACATCAGCCATAAAAAGATAAATACCATATGATTCCACTTATATGAGGTACCTTAAGAAGTCAAATTCAAGAGACAAAAAGTAAAATGTGGCTGCCAACAACTGGGGAGAAGGAAAAATAGGGAGTTACTGTTTAATAGATAGTTTCAGTTTTGTGAGATTAAAAAAAAAAAAAAATCTGGACACGAATGTGGTAATGGTGGTACAACAATGTAAATGTGCTTAATACCACTGAACTGTACACTTAAAATGGAAATTGTTATATGTATTTTACCATAATTTTTTAATTATATGGAATTAGTAATTGACATTAATGATTTATCTACATGCCAAAAAAAGTGACATCTTTTGTGTTAGAGTAAATATTAGAAAATAGGCTCTATGACTACTCACAAAAAAACTGAGATAAAGTAGGGAAAGTTTATTGAAATAACTGAAAACAAATATCTCTTAAAAATCATTACAATAAGCTTTTTTTTTAGTTTGACACTTTATAGTCCATTTCAAGCTACTGTGTGGATTTATTTCAACCATTGATACTTAGCAATATCATTATTTTAGAAAAAAGGATAGTATAGTAGGCAATCAGAGAAAGACTTGCTGAAAGTAGAGAGTGGTAATTAAAAGCATAAAGTTTGGAATCTTACAGAACTCATTCCCATATCAGAATGCCAGGAGCTAACTGAATATTCCTGGCTGAGTTATATACTATCTCTGAGCCATAATTTACTCATCCATAAACACTAATGGGAACACTAATTCTTAAGCCCTATAGATACTACAAGATTAAATAATGTAAATAAATGGATTATTTACCAAGTATCTGACACATTAAACAATAAGTGGTTGTTTGTTTTAAATAAAATATTAGCATGATAATATTTTATAGGAAATTAGTAGGAAGATATAGAGATAGTAGGAAATTATAGAGATTGCAGAATCTCTCAAATTTTATCAAAATTATGAATCTGAGCTTACTTTTTATTTTCTATAAGAATCAAAAAAACATTGCTAGAATTTGTAATAATCAGATTGGAAGAGAAATGCTTTTAATATGCTGCTTAAGTAGCAAAAAGAAAAGCAAAATATCTATGGTCATGGAGTATATTGAAAAAATTTTAATATTTTGTGCAATTTCTGATCAACAAATTGGCAATCTAGATGAAATGCACAATTTTCTAGGAAAACATGAACTCTAAAATAATGAAGAAGAGAAAGAAAACCAAATAAATCAATAACCATACAAGAGGAAGATGATCAACAATCAATGGTCTATTTCTAATAATATCAGCAAACCCAGACAATTTTGCAGGCATATTCTACAACTTTCAAAGAACAAATAGCATGGTTATTTTTTATCATTCAAACTATTCCAGAGCATTGGGAAAAAGCTGGAAATCCTCTAAATTCATCTTCAAGGCTAGGTACCCTAATATCAAAACTGGATAAAGACAGCACAATGAAACTATGGACCAATCTTACTTAAAAATATACATTTGAAATCACTTTAAAAGGTATAAATGAATTAAATCCAGCAAGTTATTAAAATAGTAACATTTCATAACCAAATGGAGTTTAGTCTAAAAATAAGGGAATGTTTCAGTGCCAAAAAATATGTAAATATATTTCATTACATTTGCAAAATAAAAAATAAAAATTATGATTTGTGTCATTAGATTCCCCCCAAATTGGATAATTACAGCAGTCATTCCTAAAGATAGTAAAATAATAGTAAATATAACATCAACTGTAAAATACTAGATAATTCCATTAAAATAGGAACAAAGCAGAGAAGCCTATTATTACCCAGTTTTTCAACATTCTTCAAAATTCTAGCTAATGCAATAAGATAAGAAAAATAAATGACACAAAAATTAGAAAATAAGATATTAATTATTGCTACCTCAGTCCCCCACAGGGGCACATGCCTGTAATCCCAGCAATTTGGGTGGCTAAGGCAGAAGGATCACAAAATCAAGGCTGGCCTTGGCAACTTAGTGAGACCCTGTCTCAAGCTAAAAATAAAAGGATTGGGATAGGCTGGGGTTGTAGCTCAGTGGCTGAGCAGCGCTAGATTCGCATGCGTGAGGCACTGGGTTCAATCCGCAGCACCATATAAAATAAATAAATAAAATAAAGATATTGTGTCCTTCTATACTTAAAAATTTTTTTTAAAAAAAGGGGATGGGGTTAGGGCTAGGGATGTAGCTCAGTGGTAGAGTACTTGGCTAGCATGTGTAAGACTCTGAGTTCAATCCCTAGCACTACAAAAAAAAAAAAAAACAGAAAAAAAATCTTTGGGGCTGGGGATGTGGCTCAAGCGGTAGCGCGCTCGCCTGGCATGCGTGCGGCCCGGGTTCGATCCTCAGCACCACATACAAAGATGTTGTGTCCGCCGAAAACTAATAAATAAATATTAAAAAATTCTCTCTCTCTCTCTCTCTCTCTCTCTCTCTCTCTCTCTCTCTCTCTCTCCCCCTCCCTCTCTCACTCTATCTTTAAAAATAATTAAAAAAATAAAAAAAATAAAAATAAAAAAGGGATGGGGATATAGCTTTGAGACAGGGCACTGCAGGTTCAATTCCCAGAATTACACACACAAAAAAATTATCTCAAATATAATGATTGTATACTGTGACAAGAGATACCACCTTAAAATAACTGTTAGCATTATGATATCCCAGTGATGGGAAGGAATACAGGATAAATATGTTGTAAAATCCATAGTTTCCCTTTATATCATAAGCAGTTAAAACATTAAATGGAATAAAGGCCTCATTCATGGCAATATTTTTAAGAAAAAACAAGGTTTATTCTTCCATTTGGCATTAAATTTTTTTTCCTAAGAGTACAGATTTATAATTTTTTGGATCTTTGAAGTACTCATAAATACATCACATAAAGGTCTTAAATAGTTCTCCCTACCTACTTTACCTCAGTCGTAATCTTAAAATTAAATAAAGTTATAACTAGTTACAAAGAAAAAACTTGAAGTTTAAAAGGCTGATATTTTCAACACAGCACTAGTTGATGGAATATTAGAGGAAGCATTAAACCATAATATAGTATATGGGTAACATACTAAAAATCTTTTTATACTGCAGTAACTATGGGGCTAAAAAACCATGTTACTGAACTCTATCATTAGCAGAACTGAAATTCAAATATTTATATCATTATACAAGTTTGTCATATTTGATTAACAAAGATCATTTCCATTTCAAATAATAATAAAAAAAATATAGTGCCATGCTATGGCGGGGTGGGGATGTGGCTCAGTGGTAAAGCCCTTGCCTCGCACATATGAGGTACTGGGTTCAATCCTCAGCACAACATAAAAATAAATAAGAATACTGTGTCCATTAACAACTAAAAAAAGTATTTAGGAGCTGGGGTTATAGCTCAGCAGTAGAGTGCTTGCCTTGCCCATGTGAGGCACTGGGTTCGATCCCCAGCACCACAAAAAAAAATAAATAAAATAAAGTAAAAATATTGCATCCATCTTTTTTTTTTTAAAAAAGTATTTAGTGGCAAGTTTGGGGAAATGAAGCACATAAGAGAGTTTTTAGTTTAAAATAACTGATAAAAAGACCTATCATAGTATAGTTTTATTAAAATCCCTTCTAACTAAAAATATCTTTGACTCTGCATCATCACAGAAATACATAGAGAGCATTAACCTTGGGAAAATTCAGTCTTGCTTTATTATTGAATCAAACCAGGTTATTTGCACAATCAATAATATATCTCAAAACCTTATGGATCCTTTATATCAAGGAAAAGATGCTCATTTGAAAAATTAAAATAAGGAGAATAAAATTACCTTAGATTAATTAAGCATCATTGTAAACATTAAAAATTTAGGTTTTGCAAAGAAGTAGAATAGTGTGTATTTTCTAATTAAAAGATAAATAAGAACAGATTTCTTCACACACAAAATTTCCTTAAAGCTTTATATTAGCTAATGAGGGTAGGGAGATAATTAATGTATCTGTAAAAAAAAATGCTCAGTCTTAAACATTATTTCAAGATTAACTTGTCAGATCATCAATTCATTGGATAGAAATGTGTTGAGCATGTGCTATGTAGCAGACACTTGGATCATTGTGAAGCAATATCAAACACACTATCACATTTAATACATTCAACATACAGAGCAAACTTATGAGCAATCAAGACAATTACACCCTTGAGCAACTGATTTTTAAAATTCTTTCCACCATTCCATTAAGTTGATTTCTATCCCAGGATTCTCTCAGTTCTAAAATAAGAGAACAACAGTAACAACAACAAAAAATACCACCTAAATACGGCAGTACAAATAATAGAAGTGTAAGAGAAAGGATGTATTAAGGCTTAAACTCTTGCTCCCATTTGCACTCAACAGTGCATCTAATGTTCAATTTTCTCTTCAAAGAAAATCTTGATTTAAAAGAACAAAAAGTACAATCAGTTCAACATCTAAAAAAGTAAGCCGGGTAGCTTATACTAAAGTTAGCAAAAGATAAAAACAGAAAAACATTAAAACAAATCTTTATTCTAAGTTATATAATGCCCTGCACTGTGGTAATGACCTTACACTTGGCTATATACATTTTTAATAAATATTACCAACAGGTAGAAAATATTCTAAATATTCTTTTGCTGTCCTAAGACAGTCCTAGTAGAATTTTTACTCATAATGTGAATATTAATTTAAGGAAATGTCACTTCTATTCAATTCTATCACTTAAATGTTACATATTCTGGAAGGATGATTTATTTGGGTGTGGGGAAAAATTCTACATTGCTCTTCACCTTCCTCCCCAAAAAAGGATGCATTCTATTCTTGAACAGCTTTCTTTACATACATGCACACACAGAGATGTATGTGTGTACGTATATGTGTCCAACAAAGGCTTGATTTTGAGATTTCTCTTCCTCTTTTAACTGATTCACTAATCTCAGTGTGACTCGGAAACTGTACTGCTTTTCACATTTTATTCAGTCATCAATCATGTATTGAGTACCTTCTGCATGCCTGGCTTTATGTCAAGTGGAAGGAAGATACAAAAGAAAAATAAGACAGTCTCTGCCATTCAGCATCTTGATATTTCTTTCAAGGGCAATATAAGATGATATATAAATATAATTTATGAAATTAGTACCCAAACCAATGGTATAGGTATCATGCATTTTACATTAATGTTGAATTTTAGAGACTTGAAACACTTTTGTGTTCATAAGATTGTCCTGAGCACAATCTTGTGAAGACACTTTATTAGCCCCATTTTAGTGATAAGGTACCTGAGATTCAGAATTTTAACCAACATGCCTCAATCATGCAAATTTTGAGTGGAAGAGTCATGAAGACCCAAGCCAGGGTTTTCCAAGCTCAGTTATCTTTTAATACAGCATGGGAAATCAAGGATGAGGTACTCAAATACAAAATAGTCAGCCTTCGGCTGGAGGTGGACCTGCACCTGGGCAATGTCCAGCAAAAGTCCAAATTAATATTATTCTGCAAATACCTATACTATAGTGTGATTCACAGATCTCAACTACCATTCCTTAATCTTAGTGCCTTGACTTCCTTAATAAGAGCTCTGCTCTCAGAAATGGAAATATGGAATATAATCTAAAAATATGGCCCATAAAATCTTAAATCATAAATATCAATCTTAAAAATCTAGTTTCTATTAATTCTTACAGATTTTGTTTTCCCTCAGCACTGGAAAGAATAACTCGCCTACCCTTTTCTCACATTCTTGCTCCAAATAACCACTTATTTTAAGATATGAATGATCGTCTCTGCCTCGAATTCTACAAGTTCACCCCAGTTTTGCCACCCAGCCCCAACCCCTGCCCAGACACCTTCCTCTCCCTCCCTAAGGATAGGATACCGAGTTCAGATTCTCCAAGTCCGGTCGTTCTGCTGTCACACAGCTCTGAGAAATAAGATTTGACCTTTCGACTCCGTCCTTGGGGACCTCCCGCTGGCCGAGCAACGTAGTTTCAACCCCGCGAAAGGGGCTTGGAGCTCAGGAACGCAGCCCCAGGCAGCGCGAGGTCCGAAGCCACGACTCCGAAGACTAGAATGACGCTGGGCGCCCGGGCGTGCATCACTCTGTCCCATACTCCTGCCAACTGCAGGGGACTAGGTCCTGCAGCCAGTCCATCCCACCCCACAGGCACATCCGGACGGGCCCGACCTTATTATGCAGGACCCCGAAGACAGGTCAATGCCAGCGACGGCGGAGGCAGAAAAAGCCAAGGCCACCCGCCCCCGTTGCCCATCGCCGAAAACCTAAAGCCCCCAAGACTGGACCGCAGAAAAGCGTTTCTATGGGAACCTCCTGTGGATCACGTGACTGACCAGGCAACCAATCGCCTCTTACCTCTGCCCGCTGCCTCGCTTTCTGCCCGCCAGGCCGCCCCCGCCTCCTTCGCCCAGCCCCGCCCCTTTCCTGCAGCGAGTCCGCGCCTGCGCAGTGTCCTGCGCGCGCCCTCCCTCGCGCGCGCTCCCCGAGGAGCGCGGAGGCGGCGTCGGGGCTCGAGGAGAGCGCGAACCTGAGGAGGAAGAAGCTGGACCAGCGCGCAGGCCCAGAACCGCCCGAGCCGCGGCTGCGGCTACGCCCCAGAACGGAAGAGGGAAGTGAATCCAGAGCCGTGCAGTGGGTTTCTGCCGGGCTGGGCTTGCTGAGCTAGAGGCAGCAGCGAGAGGAGGCCTTGGCCACGGGTCCGGCTTCGGGATGTCGAAGAACACGGTGTCGTCTGCCCGCTTCCGGAAGGTGGACGTGGATGAGTACGACGAGAACAAGTTCGTGGACGAGGAGGACGGGGGCGACGGGCAGGCCGGGCCCGACGAGGGCGAGGTGGACTCCTGCCTGCGGCAATATCCTTGCGTTCGCGGACCCCGCCCGGCCCCTGTCCCGCGGGGCGGCGGGGACCGAGGGGACAGTCCCTCCGGGTCGGGCGCCGCGAGCACCCGGCGGCCCGGCTTGGACCTGGCTCCCTCTTCTGAAAGGCAGGGGCTTCCCGGGTCCGCCGCGTCCGCCGGCCCGGGTCCGGATTCCTCAGGTGGCGCGGGCGTGGCGGCCTCAGGACGGTCCTGCCGGCCGCGCCCTCGCGGCGCCGGGAGGTGTGGGCCGGCCGCGGACCAGTGCCCGCGCCCAAGTTTCCTCCCAGAACTCTCTTTACGGGGATCGCTTTAGCTCCAGAAATTTCAGATGGGGTCGGGGGGCGGGCGTCTTTAGTCTTTTTGTTATGTGGTTTGCGTTTTGTATCGTTGGAGTAGTTTATTTCTAGCCCGGAGAGATGGAGCGGTTCGCAAATTGAGGTCCTCCGTACTTAGCCCACGGGCTCCCCTCCACCCCATTAAGAGAAAGGGATCTGGCAAAATATAGGTGGCACATAATTTGTTAACCAGGTGTGGGGAGTGACTACAGAACACGAAAACTCCCAATGAGGAAGCTTGGAGCCTTTTATCTGCTAAGAATAGGACAATAGAGAAAAGACGGGGAATGCATGTGGAGAATCCCTGGAAATATTTAAAATAAACCCCAATGAATAAAATAGAAGATGAGTCATTTGCATAAAGCAGAATCATTTTTGTGATCATGAATTGTTTCCGTTTTAGTTAAAATATGGCTGTCAGTTCCTGGTTTCTTGGTTTGCATATTTGAATATTCATAATCGCAAATTAGCATTTGCATCAGATCATTTTTAGGAGAACGTAAATGTTGCAAAAAACAAAGCTGTAATTTTAGAAAAATCTCAATCACTAGCTCTTTATACATTTCTGATTATCCTTGAGTGCATTCTTTCCTTATCAGTGTCCTTTTAAACTACAATGAAGTAATAATCTGAGCAAAAATATTTATGACAACTGTATCTTTTCATAAAGGCACTTAAATATGGCATTAAACATTTATCAATGTACTGTATAGGTTTTCCTTTGATTGCTACAGCTTTCACAATCATTTGTTATTATTTTGCATTATTTAAGTACCTACCTGTTAACTAGTTGGGGTCTTTAAAAACAAGCCAGTCTACAAAAGGTGTGCTTCTTTAGAAAGTCCATGCAGCCTTGAAAATTACAGCTTATTAACAATCATAGGTTTGTTTTCTTTCTTCATACCTATTTCTTAAGATAAGTGGTAAGCATTATTCTTTCTTAAAACATTTCTTATTAGGGAGGAATAAATGATGTTTTGGAAAACTAATATTTTAGGTAATTTATGGTATCCTTATCAGTGGATCTTCTTTTTAATAAATTCATCCTAAAATACAAAGGCATTGTCTCTTCTTACCCTTGTTATTACAGGGAGCGACAGCCCTGGTCTGGTACTACAGATGGAGGAACAAGTGAACTCTCTTGTGGTTTTTCCTTTTAGGGAAATGACTGTACATTCTGACAATCTGATTGGCCCTCCCAATTCTCATGCTTGCTAACTCACTGGTGCTTTCCGAGAGACTAAATCTAATAGGTATGGTCTAACACAGTTTGAATAACCTTTCTGAAGTATGAAGGAATGTATAAGACAAAAAAAAAAAAGTAAACTGCCACCTAAAGGTCATATGAATTATTACATTTTCTGAAATACCTCTTGTTCAGTATTGAGAAATTGCTATTTATGTCATTCAGTTTGCTGAAGTAATAATGCCAGCATGTCAGTTAATATAGAATATAATTTTAGTATAAACTTCAGTCTTTATGTTTTTACAACTAAAATCACATAAGATATATTTTGGTTCATTTGGGGGCCTAAATGATTCCAATGTATATTTTGGTTTTGGTTTTGGTGGGTTTTTTTTTTTTTTGGTAGTTATGTATGGACAGCATACCTTTATTTTATTTGTTTATTTTTATGAGGTGCTAATAATCTAACCCAATGCCTCACACGCGCTAGGTAAGCACTCTACCACTAAGCTTACAGCCCCAGCCCTATTTTAGGGTTTCTTAAGAACCAGTCTACATAATGTTTGCATATGTGTTTCATTGGAATTGAAATATTATCAATCTTTGATAGTCTTTTTTTTTTAATTCTGATGTTCTCTTATTTCAATATTTTGCCTTTGAGTGACTTTGGAAACCAACACATTTGAGTTTTCAATATTGAACATGTGACAATGAAAATATTTTTTCTTATGGATAAAGTCAGGTCTTAAACTAAGGATTCCAGGTGTTATAATGCTTTCCCAGGGGCTATCCTTTGCTGTTTACTGCCTTAACCACCATCACAGGAAACATGATAGCTGCTCTCCAGGCAGCTCTGAAAAATCCCCCTATCAACACCAAGAGTCAGGCGGTGAAGGTGAGTCACAGCCACACACAGTGATCTCTACTGATACCTTATTATTCTTAAAAAAAAAAAAAATGCTCTGAAGTCTCACAAAGTCATCAAATATTTTAACTAAACACTATTTCTGTCGTAGAATAGTTTAGAGTATACTTTGACAGGTAAACATTCCTGTGAAAAAAGAATGCTATAACATGAAATGAGATATAATAATGCTGCATGGTAGTCATGGTGAATTCAAATGATAGTTTAATCATTTCTGTGTGTTTAAAAAAGGAGCAGTTAGGATGAATTTAGTCAAAGGCTTAACAAGTAACTAAAATTTTTTATCAAAATACACAGATTCTACTTTTTTTGAAGCTTTTTAATTATAAAAAAATTAAATGTTTATTATAAAAAACTCACACATATTAAGGGATTAAACGTTGATCATAATATTGCTACCCAGAGGTAGATTTATTCCTTTTTGATGTTGGTATATGCTTATAGAGTTTGAGTGTTTTTGTTTTTATAAAAATAGCATTTATAACCTGCTTTTCATCTGAATAACAATGTCCAGGAACTTCTTTCCTTAACAATAAGTTTATTTCTATAGCATTCTTAACTGTTGTACGCCAGTGTGCTGCAGTTTAGATATAACTGATTTTTTGTCATTGACTATTTTTCTTCTTGCTGTATGTATGATGGGAATAACTTGGGATAAATTTTAATTATTTTCTTATAACAAACTCCTAGAAGTGAGCCACTGGACCAAGGAAAGCACATTTTTTAAGCCTTTTGGTACATAAGATATTGCCAAATTGCCCTTCAGAAAAATTGTGCAACTTCCATTCCCTGTTGCAGTCATTCACTAATTCTTCAGGACCTGTTTCCTCATTTAGTATTTAAAATGAAGCATAAGTAAATCAAATTCCACACATACATGGTTTTGTCAAAATGAACCCAACTGTTATATAACTAATGCATTAATAAAAGAAAAAATATTTATTAAAAAAATTTTAAAAGAACATATTGCCAGGCTAGGGCTCAGTTGGTAGAGTGCTTGCCTCGCATGCACAAGGCCCTGGGTTCAGTCTCCATCACCAAACAAAAATATATATATATATATATTGCCCATATTACAAACAAACAAATAAAATGGATCCTAAAACATCATTGCACTGTCAGTGGCTATTTATATGTTGTAGAACCTCAAAACTCTCCTTAATTGAATAGTAGTACATAGCTTAAATAAATGCATGATAATTATTACCCAGGCAACATAGTGTTTCATAAGGGAATTTTTCTTTGCTTTTTAAAAAGTTATTAGGAACATCATTGAAATTTTGATTTTACCACCTTCTGCTTTCATGTGGGTGGTTTTTATCACAGCTTGTGGGTGGGAGGTTATAACTCTGGGTACACAGATATTTTTCTAAATCAGATCATTTAAACTAGAGATAGCAATAGGTGGTAGAAACATTCTGTAAAATCTTGACCAATAGGGGATGCCAAAGATAGCACACTGTTGAATTATTATGAAAGGGTCAATTAAGTGTTCCTTTTGCTTTGCTAAATGGGTTAATTTTTTTTTTTCTTGCTGTTAGAGAAGTCTTTTACCAGAAGAAAAAGGATCACCAGGAAGGAATATCACTATATCTCATATCTATAGATATAAAAAATAAGTTTTCTAAATATTTTAAAATAAAATTTTAAAGAAAAAATTTCTAAAGCATAGTTCAAAGTAGAACTTCAAACTAGTTTCCTTGTTTGATAGCATTTTTTTAAGACTAAGAAGTGAAATTTAAATTTGTTTAATTATGAAATTACCACACCGATCTGTTATCAGCTCTACCTCCAATTATGTCAGGAATCTATCCACTTCTCACCACCTTTTGTGCCATGCTAACCCAAAACCAGCCTGTATTATTGCAGCCACTTACTAACTGGGCTCCCTGCTTCTGCCTTGCTTCCCTGCACCCACAGCTTATTCTCAACATAGACAATAAAATGATTAAAATGTGAATCAGATTATAGCAATGCTCTTAAAACCCTCCAATGTCTTAGAGTAAAATCCAGAGTCCTTACAATGGCCTGGAGGCCTTCCATGATCTGCCTTCCCAAAACCTGACTTCTGTCCTGCTACTCTCTGACCACTCTGCTCTAACCTTATGGGGTCCTTTGAACACACAGAACCCACACTACAGCACTTGTTCCTTCTCCATCTGAAACACTTCCATATCCCACAGATTTCCTCTTTTGCATCTTTCAGGTCTTTATTCAAATGTCACCTCAGGGTGACCTTTCTAAATTGTAGCCCCTGGCATATATCTGAATGTTTATTATATATTTACCCCCCAGGATCGGGCAGGCAGCATTGTCTTGAAGGTGCTCATCTCTTTTAAAGCTAATGATATCGAAAAGGCTGTTCAATCTCTGGACAAGAATGGTGTGGATCTCCTAATGAAGTATATTTATAAGGGCTTTGAGAGCCCATCTGACAATAGCAGTGCTATGTTACTACAGTGGCATGAAAAGGTAAGTAATAAATCTGTACAACTGTTTTCCTTATAATAGAGGATAACAATGCCTCTCTCACCTTAGTGACTACATTGGCCTGACTGTACAACACATTATTACCAATAAAATGCATGAAAATAAGAAGTTCAGGTATGTGCTTACTAGCCTTGGTCATCTTTTAAGAGATTCTGGTGTACAACACATTTATTCACGTATACTAAGCATGTATATTATGACTCATTAAACCTTGTTTTTACTTTAAATTAAATGAAATCTTTGCAAAAGAAAATAAGGAGTAAAAACCAAGAATTATTTTTATAGTGATCAAAAGAAGGAAACAACCCAAGATAAACAGATAAAATGTAGTACATACCTACAGTGGAGTATTATTCATCCATAAACAGGAATTTGCTATTAGAAAGCATGGATCAACCTGTAAAACATTATGCTAAATGAAATAAGCCAGACCCACAAAAAATATATATTATAATCTGAAATAGGCAGATTTAAAGGTACTGAAAGTAATTAGAGCTTACCTGAGACTGGAGGAAGAGCAGAATATGGAGTCACTGCTTAATGGGAGCAGAGTGCCTGTTTAGAGTGATGAATAGGTTTTGGTAATGGATAATGGTGATGGCTGCCCAAGACTATGAATATAATTAATATCACTGAATTTTTATACTTAAAGATGGTTAAGGACTGGGGCTGTAGCTCAGTGCTTGCCTCATATGTGTGAGACACTGGGTTCGATCCTCAGCGCCACATAAAAATAAATACATAAAAGATATTGTGTCCATGTACAATTAAACATTTTTTTAAAAAAAGATGGTTAAAATGGCAAATTTTGTTATGTATTTTGCCACAAGGTGGGGTTTTTTTGTTTGTTTTTGTTTTTTTTTTAAAGAGAATAAGGAGGGGCTAGGGCTGTAGCTCAGTGGCAGAGCACTTGCCTAGCATGCATGAGGCACTGGGTTCGATCCTCGGCACCACATAAAAATAAACGAAGGCCTTCTGTCCATCTACAACTATAAAAAATTTTTTTAAATGGGAGAACAAGGAAAATCAATAATTTTTAAATCCCTTCTTCCATTTTCATGCATTTTGTTGAGAACTTGGTATATTCCAGGTACTCTCCCAAGAACTTTCCATGTTAATTCATTAGATCCTCATAAAAATACTAGGAGGAAAAACTTGCCATTCCTCTTTATAAATGAGGAAACTGGAGGCATGTGTCAAGTCTTCGCTGCTGCTTATTGTGAGTCACTGGGTTTTGCCACTCTTACCTCCTAAACACTTCTCAGATCCATCCACCCAAGTGCATCTCTAACACACCACCCAGTTCACAGCATCTCTCCAGTCTGTTGCTATAGCTTCTGAACTGGCATCCCAGCTGCCAGTCTGCCTCCCTCAAATCTGTTCACCGAGCCACTAGAATAATCTTTTTAAAACCCAAATGTACCTTTGTCAGTCACCAGAAGAATAAAGTCCAAGTTCCCAAGTCTAACCTCTGCCATGTCATTGTTCCCTTGAGCTACAGCAAAGCCAGCCTTTTCCCTTTTCACACCTCCGTACATTTGCTTGTGGTTTTTCTGCTGTCTGTCACCTCCTTATCCATTTAACATTGTTTGTCTCCCTGAAGACTTACCTGAAACATTCCTCTCTGCTGTCAGGCTGGGCATGTGCCTTTTGTTTTTTGTAGCACTCTGTCATAACTCTTGCCTTTTCATATATTACATTAAAATGTTCTGTTTATAAGACGGTTTCTTCCCAGCAGAGCAGAAGCTACTAGATGTATTCATTTTTTTATCCCCAGCATCTGACACAGCGCTTGAAACATAGTGGTATACAGCAAGTATTTAGCAGGTATTTTTTGAAGTAACCAGAGTTCCTAATACTGTCTTGGCCTTCAAATTTTCAAATTACAAAGTTTCTAAGTTTTTAGCTATTAAATAATATCTTCCTACAAACTCACTAATCTAAATGGAAGTTAGATGGTTGATCTCAATTTGATTTTCTTCCTGTGATGAGAAAGAAATACAGAATGTCCTCAATTTATATTTGAGCATCTGTTTTAGGTAAGAACATTATGTTACATATTTTCAAAACATGATTTAGAAACAATGTACTAGAATGTAAACTAAGTTGACTAGAATATAAACTCTGAGAAAGCAGGGATATTAAAAGTTTTATTTATTATTATATCTTTAATGCATAAAACAGTGTCTGGTGTATAATGAGTGCTGAAGAAATACTTGTTAATGAATTCACAGTCTGTGGCTATACACATTCCTTCTTGAAGGAAAAAAAATTATTTATATGAGACATAGCCTTTTGGTATTCTGTGAACCATTTACATTTGGTTTGTTATAGGCACTCGCTGCTGGAGGAGTAGGGTCCATTGTTCGTGTCCTGACTGCAAGGAAAACGGTGTAGTCCAGCAGGAACTGGATCCACCGCAGGAGTGGGAGTTGCTGGTACAAAGACCAAAACAACCAAATGCCACGGCTGCCCTGTGGGTAGCATCTGTTTTTCTCAGCTTTGCCTTCTTGCTTCCTTTTTCATATCTACAAAGAAGAAAATTACATGCCAGTTTTCCTTTCATGAAAATTGGGATAATGTGGAGGAAATTTGGTTTCAGCAGGATTGTTTCATCCTCTCGTAACCATTTCAATGATGTTTATACCAGTCTGTGTAGAGTATCATTTACATTCAGATTTAATTGTGCAATCTTAAACCCCTATCAGCTGGTTACTGTGTTGTTGGTTTGTTTCCCCCCCCCCCTCCGACTAATATGAGGGATCTGATCAGAATTTGAGGCCAGTTTCCTAACTCATTGCTAGTCAGAAAGTGATCTTTATTAAAAAAAAATATATATATATATATATATATTATATATATATATATATATATTTGAGAAGCTGGCAGCTATTAACATTGCAAAACTGGACCATACTCCCTTATTTAAGCAAAATGTGTTTCTGGAACAAGTGGTGGGTGAAAACCATTACTAATTTCCAATTTTATTTCTCCTTGTCTCCAGATTATGCTGTGAGTTTTAAGAACGCTACTTCCTTTCAACATTCAATTATCATGGCCTCTTGATTTCTTTGTGGTCACCCAGGGTCCTGAACAAGGAGTCTTGTTCTATACAGGTGTATCTATAAAATATCAGAGCCTGTTTGGCTTGATATTAAAGCTTTGGTGTGTCAATAATGTGGCTCCCTTTGGGGAAACTACTCCAAATCAGAAAGGATGAGGAAACTATGATGTAGTTCAAACTCTGGGCAGTCTCTGAATGAAATACTGTTTCTTTAGAAAAACAGTAGCTGCCTTAGACATTATGATGACAAATATGAATATTTATTTTACCATTTAGTATGCCCTATAAATGTCCTCAGTGTTCTTCAGGGTAATTGGGATCTCAAAAGATTTGGTTCAGATCCAAACAAATAACATATTCTGTGTTCAGCTCAGTGTTTCTTAAAAAAAAAAAAGTCACACAGCAAAAAATTGTTTACTTTGTTGGACAAACCAAATCGGTTCTCAAAAAGTGGCCGGTGCTTATAAAAAGCTATTATTTCAGAGTAGCTCCAAAAAAAACCACCTGAAAGCATATGACCAAGAGGGAAATTAGCCTGTGTTTAATATTTACATTGGCTACCAGTTTCATAATCACTGACTTATATGAAAACTGGTGCAGAAATTCTATAAACTCTGCTGTTTTTGATACCTGCTTTTTGTTTTGTTTTGTAAAAATTATAAAACTTCAGAAAATAAAATGTCAGTGTTGAATAATTTATTTTTCTTACTGTAATGCTTATGAATGTGTGGTTAATTAAGAGGAAAGGTTCCCTGGTGCTACCACCATGTATTGTACTCTTGACCAGAACCGATTTTGTAGGGTTTATAAAATTATTTTATACACATACAAGGTAGTAGAGAAGAGGAGTAAGTAGTTAATGGTGTCAGGGCACTGCTGAAGCCTTCAGAGTGATTCCATAGCCCCCTAGATACCACAGAACTACTGGAAGCATCACTTCCCGAAGATCTAGGCACCCAGCAGCTGCAGCCATTTACTCTCAGCATCTAAACTCTTTCTCACACCTCAAACCTATTTCATATATTTGTCTTAGAGCAACTTCTGTTTGTTTTCATCTGTACCTAACTAACTTCCTACTTTAAAGCCTTAAAAGCTACCAGGCAATTCAGAGGGCTATAAGTTAGGAGAAACCAAGCAATAGGTATTAGAAGTAGGTATAGCATAACTATTTTTAAAAATGAAAAAAGGCGGGGGAGGTACTTTTTCATAGAGTTCTTAACTCATTTTTGAGACTGAAGTTTTGGGGGAAATTCTGGAATTCAGTATTCTATATTCATAAGAATGGATGTGTTTAAAATCTGCCGCCTATCAGCCTTACTAAGGGAAGATAGTAAAAATACAGTGAGCAATACAGCATAGGGACTGGACCAATAGCTAGCAGCTGGAAACCTCTGGCTCAACTGATGCATCCTAGCTACATGCCAGCCTAGGCTGTAGTAGCCATGACAATGCCATCACTTGGGAAGAATTTAGATTAGTTGTGGGAAAAAACATAAATGCCAATTAGTACTTTTACTCAGATTTTTTTAGGTAAAGAGGTTCTTTACCTACCACTTCTTTCTACTTTAATATTAGTGATTTATTATTTTGCCATTTTTTGAAAAGGAAAAACAGCAAACATACCCTTTTTTGGTTGTTAGGTAACAGTTGCACAAGCTGAGTATGAGAACTCAAGGAAATCTCTTACTATACACAAGTGAAATCAATGTATAAACTGGTACAAATTAACCAATTCTTTTAAGCATTTAGTGGTTTCACCAGAGTCATAAGGGACACAGCAGAAGAGTCAGCCTATTTGGGAAGTAAGATGTAGGTACTATTATGGTTTGGATCTAGAACATCCTCTCAAAGGCTCATGTACTTAAAGGCTTGGTCCCCAATGCAGCAGTGTCTAGAGGTGGACTTTTGGATCATGTGGACTTTAGCCTCACAGTGGGTTGATCTGTTTGACATCTTGGTGACTTGAATGGATTATTGGGAAATGAGACCCAGTTGGAGGAAGGTGGTCACTGGGGCCAAGCCCGGGGAGGGGGGCGGTTATCTTGTCCCTGCCTCCCCTTACCTCCTGTCCACTTCTGTCATAAAGCTGAGCAGCTTTCCTCTGCCATACCTTTCCACCGTGATGTTCTGCTTTCGCCCCAGAGCCGTTTAGCTGAGCCAACCATGGTCTTCATGAAACTTCTGAAACCATGAGCCAAAGTCTTCCCTCCTTTATATTGTTATTGTCAGGTATTTTGGTCACAGTGATGAAAAGGTGATTAATGTCCTGTAGTTTAACATTTGATTGTAAATGTAGTGTGGAGAGAACAGTGAGATCAGGGCAGACCATAGTGCAGTGAGACAGATCAATCTGAACTAGGCCTTGCAGGAGCAAAAGGACAAAAAAGTTGAAGTGATATAAACAATAAAAAGTTGAAATGGATTTCACTGTCATTATTCTTGTGATTTTAATGTTTTTAAAAGGGAGTAAAATTCTAGATAGGTGTGTGTGTGTGTGTGTGTGTGTGTGTGTGTGTAAAATCTGCCTGAAGATCAGAAGGTTTGTAGGTACCAGAGCCAAGATTCCAACTCAAACCTGCTTGACTCCAAAGTTCTGTCACACTTCTTTCTCAAGCCTACTGCTTGGGGAATGAAAATCGTTCTAGGACAGATGAAGACTTGGGTTTTCTCTAGGAACACCACCCTCAGTACTGCTGAGAGGTAAATCAACTCAGGATCCCTTCATAGAGACAAAAGTTCACAGATGGAAAAGTCAGAAGAAAGATTTGGAGAAGCATTACCACAGCAGGCTCAGCAGCACCAGCACAACCTGCTCCTTAACTATGAGTAGTTTTACCTGCACGTTGGTGGTGATTCTTGTTTAAAAACAAAACAAAACAAAAAAACACAGAAGCACTGTACCACTGAGCTACACCCCCAGCCCCCTTTTATTTTGAGGTAGTGTCTCACTAAATTGCCCAGCCTGGCCTTGAGCTTGTGAACCTCCTGCCTTAGCCTTTCAAGTTGCTAGGATTGCAGGTTTGTGCCATTGTGCCTTACTAATGATTAGGCAGAATTAAGTCACAAAAGAAAATGATACTGATTTAACAGACCCAAACTTTTCAGTCCCTTTTTTCTAGGAATTCCATTTATTATGGATATTAACCTCTAACCTCATTTTAATAAATTCCCTGAATTGTTTTCAGAGACAATGTATTTTATTAGTAAACTTATTTTGATTAATTTTGTTATAACACCATTTAGCAAGAATCAGAGCTATAATTTCATGTAATTATCCAGACTCAAAAGATTATTAGTCATAACTGGAATTTAGATGCTTGGTTGAAATCCTAAAAATCAGTTTGGTCCACCTCACTTCAATAAACTTATATGGGGCTCCGTTTTGGAGGTCTTAAACTTCAAGTGGGAAGTTTTTCTCTGGGAGTTATTTTCTGGAGTGCCCTCCCATTCTAATTTCAAACCAGTTGACAATTAGAAGTTTTGCATGGGAAATCCCAGGAAATGTAAGATCTCTGAGATAACTCTGGACTCAAGGAAAACAGGATCCAAATCATAGACCTGCATGGATATGAGACCAAAACAACATTCACCAGCACCAAAGAGCAAACGCTTCCATTCTTCGTGTTTCACTCCATTGCCTGCTGCCTTTGGTAGAGTTGGTATGAGATCCAACAAGTTTGAACTGGCTCTTGTCTATCTCTAGCTTTTCCACTTCTTGTTTTCAGTTGCCTCATATCTTTTCCTTTCCCTAATTCTATTCTCTATATTCCTTTTCTCTCTCCTCAGTCCATGCATCTGCTGCCTGCCTATGCTCTCTTTCCTCTCTACTTCCACAGTCTCATCTTTCCAATTAGTTTATGCTCAGGCCTAGGCACTTGGAGCCATTTTAGTAATTAAACGTGGTTGTTCAAGCAGGGTAGTTTAAGTGATGCCCTCCCACAATTCTCCAGCTGACTTAAAGTTTTTAAATTGCTTATTTCTAAACTGTAAATGCAGGGTTTTATTTTCATAGGTTGCCTTGGCCTGCAGTTGAATAAACAGCCTAAAATCCAAAATGGTCCAATTTTTAAATAAACTGGTATTTAAAATGTATCAGAGGGTACTTGACCTCTAGCCTCCATTTTAATAGATTCCTTGTTTCCTATGGCTTCAGAAACAATATATTTTAACAAACTGCTATTTCAATTAATTGTTACAAATCCATTTAGCAAGTACTAGAGCTATGATCTCATGTCATTAGCCATGCTGAAGAGATTATTAGCCGTAACTAAAATGTATTAGATTTACACATAACTTAACCCTACAGGCAAAATACTAGAAAGCACCAAAATGACTGGGGATGGGAAGATAGGCCCCAATTAAAAAAATTCAAGGGTCTCTGAACATTTTAGAAAGGGGTACTCTAAAGGCCCCTCTGTCCATGTGCCTACCATGGGTCTCCCCACCCCACTCCAGCCCAACATCCCTGATAGAATATAGGAAAACCCCCAAAGCTTCCTGTGGACTGCAGTGCAGTGTCTCCTGCCAGTCAAGGACAGAGGCCACCGGGGGAGCCCACAGAGGTCCAGCAGAGCCTCTTCCCCTAGGTGGTGCTGCTTCACCACATTAATGATCCAACCATGGGACACAACTTTTGCTTTGACATTTCTGTTTTCCTTTCATTTCCTTGGAAGTCTAAGGATAATGAATTATCTTTACTTACATCTCTTATTTCTCTGAAACAGCTCCCTCTAGTCCCTATAGCTTGATACATGGCTAACCTGAATTCCACAGTCCAGGCTTCTAAGAAGCCCATATTTTCTGGCCTGGCATTTAGCTCTTGCTCTGTAGGGCTCAGCCTCCTGATCTTTCTACTAGACCCTGTAGCCCCCTTGAAGTCACAGTAACTATGTCTTACCTCTGATGTCCAGGCAATATCTATTGGTTGCAAACTGAGCCAAGTCGCCTGATACGTCCCCAAGTCATATGCAAGACTCCAGTTACCTGAAATACAACATACCAGAAGCACAAACTGAGAACTGTGCAAAGTAAAATAATCCTCATTGGGTTCAAATCCCCCATACCCAACCAAGTTTAGCCACCAATTCATTGAATTTACTTCAATACAGACATTTTTAGCAGAGAATTTGTCAGAAGTAGGTAGACATCAGAGCCTCCCTGGGTAGCATGGATAGCCCTGCTGGTGCTCAGCTCTGCCAGAAGTCATCAGATAAAGGGGTCAGAATTTTAACTTACGTCTGGCTGACGGTAACTCCATGGAAATTTATATCGTACAGCATTTATTATTCTGTGGCTTCACCTTCTGAGATCGGAGATGTGTCCGTCCATCTCCTTAAAGATAAAAATCATTAAATAACATCCACAAAATTATATCACTTTTCTTGATTGTTCTTGGCTTTTTCTAATCATGTCAACCCTTAGGATAATGAACAAAGTTACCATTGAATAACATTAGGCTTCCTTTGGTTTATCTCATAATTGAATCAAGATTCCAGAAGCAACTGTCACATTTTCTTCAATTTGATTACTGAATTAAAAGTCCATATCTTCACTGACCAATGGTCTTATATTTTTATTCATTTTAATTTTTATTTACTTCTTTTCAAGTAATTTGCTTGTATGGTTCAACACTCAAAAGGTAAAAGATGTACCGTGGCGTGGCAATTATCCCTTCCACCCTAGTTGCCTTTTTGGCAATC